GGGATTTTTTTTTTTTTAATTGAAAAAGTGTATGCCTCTGAGTAGCACTGTTCCAAGTAGCAAAGAATTTTTACAAGGCTGAACGAATTGGGGACTGGGATAGGGGAATTGTTCATGCTGGGACCTTATTTATTATAATTTGTTCCTATTACCCACTTATAACAGAGACTATTCTCAGATGGAAAATAAACAAAAGCAAATTAAAACAAGAAGAACTGAGGGATCTTGGGAGAGGAAAGAGTTCGCATTCTTCGTAATTGTTGAAACTGTAGTCAAAAATAGAGATGAGTAACCCAACCAGATGTTCTCATCAATACATCAGCGCTTGTGTTCCCTAACTTGGGCAAAAGATTTCAGCAGGCTTTTCAGAAGTTCACTCTGGATTATGTCCAGAATAGGTGGATAAATTGTCTCTGTATCTCATCATGGTTTTGGATAATCACACACACTTGTTTAAAAGGTGCCTAACAACCTATGGGTTTCCAGATATTCTTTGATTATTACACCCCCAGCATGTCCAACAATTACTGATTATGCGAGTTGTAGTTCAACAACATTGGAGGGTCCATATTTCCCTACATTATTTGAATCTTGCTTTAAGTGTAGGTCCTTGTAAATGTTGCTACTTTCATTGCACATTTTTGTTACACGTCAGCCATTTTAATGCCAAGAACAATGGGACAGAAAACTCCAAAGACAGATAACCTCATGTCCATAAGAGGTTTTAGACTTCAGCTTCTACCAACCTCAGCCATCAAGGAATCACCAAGTGCTTTTCTTGACTTGACACCAAATCCAAGGTCCTGAAGGACTTCAGGTCAATCTGGTGCCTCTTGACCTATTTAGATTACAAGTATAATAGGTCCAAGCTAAAATGGTGGCAAGGAATTCTGGAGGTTGCATAGCAACAGTTTTGGAGACCATCCCATCAGGGAAAGTATTGATTGTGATGAAATTAGTACTTTTTACTAAAAAAGATAAAGAGTTAATAAGACCCTTTCTCATAACACAGAGGTTAGAAATAATTTATGTCCCATATTATTTGCCTGTTTATAAACAATGGGTCCTTTGAGTAAATGAGATATAGAATATAATATCCTCTGCTATACTTAAGATACTATGCTACCAGAAAAGAGCTGATAAGAAAAATGATAGCATCAATCTATGAATTCTATACTTATTTTGGGGAGGAGGGGGTGGCTACAAGGTTTTAAAGATGTATTTATTTCCAGAATAAACCTGGAAGAAATTATGCCACTTAACATTCATTAATAGTAATTATATAATTACTATTTGCAGAATTGATTTTTCTGTTGTGTGAATCTTACTTAACATAAATAAATAAGCCTGCTTCACTGTAAGTTTACCAAGCGTGGAAGTCATGGGAACTGCCAAGTTATGGAATCATCAATTGATGGCACTAAACTCAGATACTGAACAAGTATTTCCCTAGATCTAACCTGAGCTTCTGCTTCCTTAGAAGTCACTTTCTTAGAACTATGGATTCCAATAAACTACTCTGAAATTCCAGAACTTGTTCCAAACCAGAGGAAATCTACAGCCGAATTAATTAGGAAAATGGTATCATTTCAAAGTTATTCTAAAAAGTAATGAACATAAACGTAAGACTACCACTGCATCTAAATACTCTAAAATAAAACATGTTTATCCTGGGAAAAATTATATACTTGGCTAGCGAAGAGAGAACCATAACCCAATTGAAAAGAGGAAAGATATTTACTGAGAAACCGATAGTATATCAACAAAGTGAGGTCGGACAGACCTAATTGATGTATAAAGAGATATAAGTCGTTCCGTCTCCCTCGGAATATAATGTACTTGCAGATATGTTTGCTATTTGTTATGTTGTCTTGTATGTTATTTATATGGTGTATTGTTATTTTTTGTGTTTTTTAATGAAAAATGTAAATAAAAATTATTTTTTAAAAAAAAAAAATCCTTTACAATCTTTAATTATCAAGGGCCGCAGGAAGACAGATAGAAGTAGCAGCTCCAGATTTTAGCTCAGACCAGGGCTTAACCCGGAGGCAACTGCCCTATCCTGCTGCATCCCAGCACCAGACATGTGTTCTGGAACAGCCAAAGGAATCCTGGCAGCCCATGCTATAAGGGCTTTTTAAAAAAATGCTAACCACCATCATTACGTAAGAGCCGAGGTGGCGCAGTGGTTAGAGTGCAGCACTGCAGGCTACTTCAGCTGACTGCTAGCTGCAGTTTGGCAGTTCAAATCTCACCGGCTCAAGGTTGACTCAGCCTTCCATCCTTCTGAGGTCAGTAAAATGAGGACCCAGATTGTTGGGGGCAATAGGATGACACTGTAAACCGCTTAGAGAGGGCTGTAAAAGCACTATGAAGCAGTATATAAGTCTAAGTGCTATTGCTATTGCACGAACTAGTCACAACACTGTGGAAGATTATTCACGTTGCAGGTTTGATGGCTGAGCTTACATATTGGTGATTTCCTAACAAACGACCACATTGTTGTGAACGTAGCTTCATGTCAGCCTGCAGATTCAGACTCACAATCCACACTCCTACAAGTGAGAGATGGCTGTTTGCCACAATGTGGACCCAGAGTCTAATTACTTCAGCCCATCTCTCTCCTAGATACATGAAAGACAATGTGTGGTAGAGACTCTATTAAGATTCTCAGTTATCCAGATCATAGTTGTCTCAAAAGTGCTTTTTCAAAAGGCAACTGGACTGTTTTTTCCTTGAGGAAGAAGATGTTTTGCTTCTCATCCAAGAAGCTTCATCCATTCTGGCAGGATGGGGGAAGGTGGGGGATGGATTAGTTCTAATAGGATGGGGAGGGGTTTGGAAATTTGCAAACGGCTGTATTATTGTGATCTGATAGTTTTAAAACTATTTCTTTCCACATTGAGTGTCGGCATTTTAATACTTCTGGTCTAGAAGAATATTGTTTTATATTATCTTTTTTATTTTTATTTTGTTCATCTCATGTGAGGTTAGTTTTTTGTTTTGTTTTTTAATTTGATTTATATGCTGCCCTTCTCCGGAGACTCAGGGCGGCTTACAATGCGTTAAGCAATAGCCTTCATACTTTTGTATATTTATACAAAGTCAGCTTATTGCCCCCACAAACTGGGTCCTCAATTTACCTACCTTAGAAAGGATGGAAGGCTGAGTCAACCTTGAGCCTTGGAGAGATTCGAACCAGCAGTAATTGCAGGCAGCTGTGTTAATAATAACAGGGTGCTTAGACCACTGTACTATCAAGGCTCTTTATCTCCCAGAAGGTTTATCTCCCAGAAGGGAGGCCAGAGCCCTGAGTCACCATTCATTAATGCTAAATAGCCAAGAAATTGTTTCAACTTCCACATCTTGACTATTTAATCTCCAGAAAGACAGCAAAGGATGTTAAAGCCCTATTTTTCCCACACAGTAGATTTAGGTTTTTGTGTCAGGCGATCAGGGACTTACCAAGGCACTATTCCAAATAACCAGTTTGTGTCACCTCCTCCAGACCTACATTATCTGGATCTCGTTATTGCTACAAATATCACTTAGAGACATCTAACCAGATTTTATACTGCTTCGTGGATAACTTAAAAAGACATTGTGAGACACTAATGGAGAAATTGTGTTAATGTGCTTCATTTAGTTTTGACATACTGTGATACATGAACTATAAAACCATGATTAAATGAACCGTGGCTAAATGTAATTTTCAGCACGACCTTATAATAATTTTTGAATTAATAGCAGTTAAAATACCAATTTATATGGAAGGCTGTCAAGCCAAGCCCAAGAACAATGTGGGACAGTTCAGCCAGAGTTCAGTTCTTTATTTGCTTACAAGTAGCAGACAGAATCTTGCCAGACTAAACACTTACTACTCCCAGCCTATGGATAGCGCCTAGGAGATTCTAGGGAGGAATGGTGAAGGTACAGGCCTAAAAACCAGGGGATAGTGAGTTCTAATCCTGGAGAGAGAGAGAGAGGAGAGAGAGGAGAGAGCGGGGGAGGGAAAGGGAGAGAGACACAGAGGGAGATGAGATACAGAGACAGAGACAGAGACAGAGACAGAGACAGAGACAGAGACAGAGACAGATTAGATATAGATATAAATATATACAGTGGTGGGATTCAGCCAGTTTGCACCACTTCGGGAGAACCGGTTGTTAACTTTCTGAGCAGTTTGGCAAACTGGTTGTTGGAAGAAATCATTAGGGCAGAGAACTGGTTGAATCCCACCATTGGATATAGATATGTAGTCCTTGACTTATGACCAGAATTGAGCCCAAAATTTATCTTACTAAGTGAGACATTTGTTAAGTGAGTTTTGCCTCATTTTACAACCTTTCTTGCCACTTTCTTATGATCTTTCTTGCCAATTGTTAAGTGAATCACTGCAGTTGTTAAATTAGTAACACGGTTGTTAAGTGAATCTGGCTTCCCCATTGACTTTCCTTGTCAGAAGTTTGCAAGAGAGGGGATCACATGATCCCGGGACACTGCAACCATCATAAATATGAGTCAGTTGCCAAACATTTAAATTCTGATCACATAATCATGGTGCTGCTGCAATGATCATAAAGTGTGAAAAATGTCACTTTTTTCAGTGCTGTTGTAAGTTCGAATGGTCACTAAATGAACTATTGTAAGTCGAGGATTACCTGTATGTCATTCTTCTGAATCAACTCTACTACTCAGCAGGGAGACAGCCCTAAGGAGCAAATCGTGACTCTCTGACTTCAACATCTTCTGCCCCCAGAGAAAGACACAATGGTGGAGCCACCAGAGCCGGAAAAAGGCTCTCTTAGCCACAACTTCCAGTACTAGTAACATAATTAAAACACATTATAATACAGACCTAGATTTTTGCCCATGAAGCAAAAGGAAGTCCCCTCCTAAACCTATGTACCTATAATTAATGTTTAAACATTTCAATCAGTTATAAAATATAGAGATAAACCAGTAATTGTTCCAAGTGTCAATCAATAAATCAGACAGACCCTGTTATCACAATAGATCTGTTTCATCTTCACAGGAGATTTCTGGGAAAACCAGCAGAGAACCTTGTTGACTTCAGGGTTGTGTCATTACACATCTGGAATCTACAATCAGAAGAGAACACCAATTATTGGAAGGAATAAGCCATGGAGCGGGGGAGAAATTGTGTGATAAGCAATTGGAATTATTTTTCCTATGTGTGCCCAAAACCCTAAATGTATTTTGTTAAATATGAAATCTCCTACATAGGGTAGAGATTCATTAAGGATGGATTCCTCCTCTTTCTTATATTTTGAAATCATCACCAGGTACAGGAGAACATAGCAAAATAATACTGAGCTAGTGATGGCTTTTCCTGCTCAGGGCAAAAGCCATTTTGTTAAAGCAAATGTTGTTTGGAAGTAGAAGCATTTTGCTGTCTGGAGTGTACAATGAAGTACATGAAGAGACTGTATCTGGCTTGCTCTTCTATGTACAGAATGTACTGGATTCAAAAGGAACCTATTGCTGAATGCAAAGCATGAAAAAATTGGTTAATTATCCTGGTCAGCCTTAAACAGTAGCTACATTTTTTTTTTTTTAACAATGCAAGGAAAGTATTTACAGTACATTTTAGCATGAAGATAATGGGAAGAGACAAACGAAAAGGTTTCAACCAAGCATTGATTTGCTGGCAGATCCCAAATGTTTAACTATTGGCCCAAAGAAACAAACACTGATTGGCTGATTGTTTTCTGATATTCATATGTTCCAGACTCATCGTTTTCCAATTTTCTGGATAATCCGAAATGGTTAGATTAACCTAAGACAAATATTGAGTGGGCTATAAATTGAAGCTGCTCTGCAGATGGGAAACACAGCCATCTGGAAGAACACTTTTCCATTTCTTAGTTGAAAAGTATGCTGCTTTGTTTTAAAGTAGGCCTCCCTTTTGTAATGTCTGCCCTATATATAAATAGATCTTTGTAAGCCTATGGCCTTCGGTTTGCACAACCTCCTCCTCCTCTATCCCATAGCTGAAGAAAACGTTACAAAGTCATTTTGGTCCTCTTGGTTTCACATTTCTCCCAAGAATGTAATTTCCTCAAACAAAAGAGAAAATCTTGCCCTTTCTATCAAAATCCACTCAGCCTCTTCTAATTTTAGCTCCCCCAGCAAATCCAACCCTGTAATTAAAACATTGCTGTGGGAAAGTTATATTATGGAACTACTTCTGGCACCAGTATTTCTGTTTAACCTTAAAAGGTTGTGTCTACCACTATATCCAAAATATGGAACTACCTGGTGAAATAGTCAAGAAAATGGTTGGGCTACGTGCATTTATACAGGCTGTGAAATAGTGTTTCTTTATGAATTATTTTAGGATTCTTCTGTGATTTTATGCACATCTCTCTCTTAATAGCTATTTCTTATACTTTTTTGGAAATTGTTTTCAAAGGGAAAGAAATTGTAAGTGAATTTTTCATTAATGGGGTTTTGCTCTTATTTAGTTGCAAGATGACCAAAGAGTAGATATGAATATCTTAATACCATACAACTCTTTCTCCAGCATTGCATAGTTTCCTTGGCTTCCCATCCTTCAATTAAATCCCCCCCCCCAATTAAATGCAACATGAAACATCTTCTCTCAGACTTTTTCAGAGTTAGAAGTGGGAGCAGTCAGGGAAGCTTCAGGGTGATGGAAAGCTGTTATCAGGAATCGTGAAATTAGCATTCTCATTCACTTCCAACAATACCTTAAGTTCAAAAGCACTATCAAAAGAAAGTAGAAAGAAATCTCAAACATCCTGAAAAACAGAAGAAGAGAACTTTATTTCACAGGGGAGGAAATTTCAGGGAATTGCATGGCAGATTTTGACCAAATATTAGTTTTATCAAGAACCAAGCCAAAGGAAAAGGTGCTTTTGTCTAAATATATACTGTATCTCCAAGCAAATTAGAGCATTCTGATTTGGTAAATTGGCAAGACAGCATTAAGAGAAATAAAACGACTTGTCCATGTAAACTAGCTCATATAATCCAATTGGCCAAGAGCATCCATTGTTCTCCCAGTTTGTTTCAATAGCATATTCATCTAAACAAATATCTTAAATTTCTCAGAATAATGATAATATCGCATTTTGTACTGTGCGATCCTTGATTTGATGATACTCTTCTAGGAAGGAGAAAAAAGTTCTAACTGAAAAAGAATTATCTTGAAGCTATAGCAGAAAAAAAAATCAATGCTGACAAGGAGAAGCAAACAGACCTGTACAAAAAAAATTACAATGAAATGGAAGATTTCAGGAAATATGATGTCTACCAGGGATGAAATCCAGTAGATTCTGAAAGGTTCTGGAGAACCGGTAGCGGAAATTTTGAGCAGTTCGGAGAACCAGTAGTGGAAATTTTGAGTAGTTCAGAGAACTGGCAAATACCATCTCTGGCTGGCCCCAGAGTGGGGTGGGAATGGATATTTTGCAATATCCTTCCCCCAGGAGTGGGGAGGGAATGGGGATTTTGCAGTATCTTTCCCCTGAAGTGGGGTGGGAATGGAGATTTTGCAGTATCCTTTCCCTGCCATGCCCACCAAGCCACACCACATCCACCAAGCCACGCCCACAGAACTGGTAGTAAAAAAAATTGGATTTCACACTGATGTCTACCTTATGCTTTTGGTGAGAGAGATTACTTAAGAGGAGGGAGCATTTTGAAGAGAGGAACCGACAATTTCCACAGCTTTGTTTTCATTGGTAGAGAAAGGGAGTGATTGCTTCTTATGGGTTTGCGAATGCAGGACCTATCTCTCTGCAGAAAATTGTTATTGACCTACCTTCTGCATGGAGAACTCTGTTCCACAAAGAAAGTGGCAGAGGAAGATCAAATTTATGTTTCTCTTGCATGGTCCTTTGTGGGAAAGGTTTGTAGCTGTTTAAATGATTGACCAATGTCAGTGCCCAGGGAATCAAGAACTATTACCCATTGGAAGACTAGTTTCACCTGAGAGAAAAAGAAACCAAGGAAAGTGGGGAAGAGAGAAAGAGGGAGGGAGAGAGAAAAAGAAAAAGAAAGAGAAAGAGAGAGACAGAGAAATCTGCAGTAATTTTCACACAGAAAATTAACCATAAGACATTTGTAACTAAGAATTAAAATGATTTTCCCCTCTCTCCTTGTCCTATTCCTTTCTCTTCCATGTCATCCCTTTGAGCTGAAGGGCAAAGTCTATCACACTTTGTAAATGATTCCTTCGAGGAAAGAACAGGAGAAATACTGAATAAGATAAACACCAAAACTAAAAAACATAAAACTAAAAAGTTTTATGATGACCATAGATTCATTTAGCTTCAACAGGGATTAGAAAAAAAAAATTGGGAGGATGCTAGCTGGATGAAGACTGTAAAGTCAGAGGCATAATACAATGAAGCATTTATATAGGAGTCAGAAAAACAAAAAAAAATCAAATCTTTGACCACCTGGTTCTCCCCAGATGTTTGGGATAATAACATCTTCCGCCTCCTGCCACTGGCTGATGGAAGTCAAAATCTAAAATGTCAGGCAGGGTTGATTCCCAAAGCCTATTTTATGATTCTCAAAGAAAAAGTATAACGTATGCCATGCTGTGCCAATTGAATCAGAGGGGGAAAACCCAGAATGGCTGTCAAAAAAACCAAGTACCATATTTTAGTATAGTATATAGTAGTATAAGACGCACCGGAGCATAAGATGCAGCTTAGTTTTTGGGGAGGGAAATAGGGGGAGGGAAATCTGCCTATCAGGTATTCATCTGGCTAGCATCCTTAGTCTAGTCAGCTTCAGTACATTAGTTTGCTGGTTTTTATCCCCTGCTTGGAGATAAAAAAACAGCTTCTAAAGCACAACTGATCTTTGGATTGAGAAGCAATGAGAAAAGCAGGCAAACCACCGAGATTGCTTCACTCGCTAGTGCCTCATTAGGGCTGAAAAAAAGCTTCACAGCTGAGAGTCAGAGGGAGCAGGCAAAGCACAGATCGCTTCACTGAAAAAAAGCTTAGAACGGAGAACGCTTCACTTGCTAGCACCTTGTTAGGACTGAAAAAAAATCAAAAAAGCTATATTCGGAATATAAAACACACCCAAAATTTCAGCCTCTTTTAGGAGGGGGAAAAAGTGTGTCTTATACTCCAAAAAATACGGTATGTATGTTAAATATGCCTCATAAAAGGGGATCAAAATTAGAAGATGAAGCATTTCATCACTATCTGTGGCTTCAAAGCCATGTTTCCTATGTTTCTGTCCCAGCCAGCTCTACATTCTTCTCACTTCCCATTGTGGAGGAGGTTCTGAAGGCCTTTGTCATCTGGAGAAGAGCCAGAAATAGTGGCTGTATGTAAACAGTCATCAAGCCATACAATAACAGGATATCCTTGTAAATAGAAAGTTCGGTTGCTGTCTCTGCCACAAAGGCAAATCATTGGTTCACACACCTGATCTTACTGTCTGGAACGGGTAATTGCTGCTCACCTCATTTGACTCAGAAGTTGACTTATGATTTGAAGAGGGTTTCCCTCAAGCATTCCAGTCTGTCAAGGGCTGGGCGGGACTCCTGTTTGATCCCTCTTCTCTCATCGGAATGTTTACCTCAAGTGCATTGGGAGTTTATACCAAAGCATAATTTAACTGAGACATCAAAAAGATCCTTTGTTTGCTTACATTAAGGACCTGGTCTAATACTGTGTCATTTATCATATCTACAGAAACTGATGTCCCAATTAAGCTTGTCGTTTCTTCTTTAAAAATGCATTTGCAGTTTTACACACAATTATGTTTAGAGGAAAGGTTATGGCAGGATTTTTAAAAAGACTGGGGAGGGGGGAGATTTTAAAAATGGACTAATTCCACAGACCTTTATTTCCACACTATTTCTAGTTAAGTGTCAAAGTGTTATAACCAATTGTTGACTTTTTCTAATCAAATATAAAACGTGACCATTCAAGAGCAAGATGCTGATCTGAAATGAATTGGGAAAAAAAATCTCTGAAAAGCTGGATGTTTGTATATAAGTGAAGCAAAGGAGCAATTAATTTTTCCCTCCTGCTTAATAAAGTGTACTTTATTCAGACATCCACTTCCTCATTGCTTTGC